GACATCCATTGTGCGTACCAATAAGTCAGTGATTTATATCGGACATTAGTTACCAATAGAGTACCAACAGGCTGGAAAGATTTACTGAATGTTAAAAAAATATACCTTTGAAAAAAATTACATTTAATAAGGAATTTAGTTTTCTCCAAAATCATCAAATGATAGGTCCACAAAACTGTGAAGGGGCAACATCAAGAGTTGGGGACCTTTATTTCTCTTGCGCGGGGGCACACAGTACATGTGCACCCACACGTCTTTTTTGTGATGTATTTTTGTAATATTGACTTCTTCCTACAAATGTTCCTCTGGTCCTGTCTCTATAGACTAGCAGGCTGCCATCTTTCTACTGCAATGCTTGCCTGCTTATCTATGAATCCTTTCTTACCGGCTTCACCAATCCTCCCAACCAGGCCAGCTGACTCTGTTACAGTTAGAAAAGCTACCTGCTCTCTGTGATTTCATTTCCAGACTTATGGTGCCTCTTACGCCTCTCCAGGTTTTTCTGTGTCACAGAAATTTTAAAAAAATACCATGGTCACTTCCTATGCCGCATTTCCATTTCATTGCCACTATTTTCTCTGTGTTTTTAATCTTCCCTGTAACCCAATTTTCTTATCAAGTTTTTACTTATTTTCTTCTTCACTAAGTTTTTCTTCATTTCAAAAAGGGAAATTTCAGCTGCATATCTACACAATTGTTAATTGTAAGAATTATATTATCAATATTTTATTCTCCTTGTACTTTCATTACCTGAAGATAATTTTAATAAAGTAGGATTTGAATAGATTCTTGTTTGGAATAAATATATTGTCATAATTCCAACTAGTACATGATTCTTATCCACTATGGCTACTATGTGTAACCCTGGCTAATGCCCTGGCTCATCTAATAGCTTTGATTGCCATGGTCTACTCCAGGGGTAGGCAACCTTCAGAACTCCAGATGTTTTGGACTACACCTCCAATGAAGCTTTGTCAGTATTATGGCTGTATGGGAGATGTAGTCCACAACATCTAGAGTGTTGAAGGTTGCCTACCTCTGGTCAACTCTCTGGTCTGGTCTACTCTCAAACTAATAATTATTTTATTTTGGTGAACTGCACAGATTTTTTTCATGTTCTTATTTCTGGAGGCCCATAATGTTGATTTGTATGATTTACTAGTTTATTACTACATCACAATACCCTGTGGTTAGAGGACTCTGTTATGTGAGGTTTATAAACATTTTTCCATTATGGAAGCGAAAACAAAAAGGGTTGGGGGCACACCCGGAACATGCATTTTGCAGGAATGGTGCTGCCATAATTACCAATATTCATACATAATACAAATTAAGTTACAGCGCACACTTAAAAATACACTTATAACTCAAAACAAATATGTGGATTCACACATGGCCATATTGTGTTATGGAAGCTGTCATTGCTAAGAAAGGTTTATACCAATTGATTTTTACCAATATCTCTACTGACAGATAGAGACAAACTTTTCTATATTTGGCATTCAGTTGTGTATAACAAAAGCGGTTTCAACTATTGTTACAATATTGTCCAAAATTTAACTAAATGCAAAATCTAAATTTTTAGAGAACCAAATTCTTACACCTCTGCTTCCACCAAAGACGTAAAACAGAATCAACTCAGAATAGCTTGCCCCCACTTCCTCTGGAGCCAGTGCATGTCCAAACTAAGCACAGGTGCACTATTTTCTTTTCACAGCTTTGGCAGTCCAGCACAAGCATCTGCCAGCCACCTCCATGAAGCTTCCTCTGTGCATTTTATTGCCCTGCAGGTGTTTCTGTGTGTGGCCTTCAGTGTACAGGATAAGTGTGGCTGCTATTGTTCTTTAAGGGTACTTTGATCTTGTTCGCTCAAAGAGTTGCATAGCTGGATACCCTATTCAGTCCCATGCTGGGTAAAGGAGGAAGCTGTGAAGTTGCAGACAGGCAATCCATAATATTTATTTCAACAACTGCTCCAAATCTCTTGAAGCATCATAGTAAGATGGCTCATTAAACTACAACAGCCTTAAAATTGTGTTATACAACCACAAAACTGAAATCGATACATTTGTTAGATGTGAAGTAATGAATTGTATTGAGTGGATTCTAAGCACTTTTCCTGCAGATCATATTAATATGATGTGAACATCAGCGCTGTTTGTAATATTTAAAAATTAAATTAGGGAATTACTTCTTCCAGCGTGACTGGTACATCGGAGCAGGACGGCTCAAAATGATATGAGCAATTTATTTATTCTCCTACAACTAAAGCTTTGGGAAGAGAATGCAAATCAATCCAAACACATATTTGCTATCCGCTCTTTAGATGCTTTGTGTTAATTCACTTCTAATCAATACCCAGCTCTGTAAGAGCCCAGCAAAAAACAACATCAATATAATAACTCACTATAGGTTTATTACTAAACTAAAAGCATGCCTCACTTCTCATTTTTAATAGAGATTAATGACAACCACAAAAAATGTTATTGGCACAACAAGTGCTTCTCTCCTCTGAGAGACTGTATCATAGGCCCATATTGATTAAGCGGCGGTTTCTGCATGATGACCCATTTACTACAACACATGTAACACATTTTCCAAGGTAGAAATATAGTCATTTCCATTTTGTTACAACATGGACAAGTGGTAAACATGAGCTTTAAAATGTATGGAATTCAATATATTTTACTTGATGTTTTCTAAGCATGGTATATTATTGCAGCGTTTAATTTTTTTTAAATGGCGTCAATCTAACAAAGTATTAAGCCTTTTCTAAAGCACTATGTATATCATAATTAAAAGCAAAATCACCTTTGCTGTGGCCGAAGAAGACATTTGGGGAAGACTGGTCACTGGGATAAATGTTTGATTCTAAAAGTTAATTTGATTTGTCTGTGATCGTTCAGACTTCTTAATATAATAATTTCCTTTCCCAAATTTCACCGTTTAGCTAAGCAGTCAGCTCCTGTGATATATGAATATATTGCTGATATACTTGACTAGTTATAATTAGAGAGATTTCAGTGTGCTCAAACCATACACGTCCTTTGTCACGCGGTATAGAACAACCCGTTGCATTGAATGTAAATTATAATCAACAATTTTACACCTACCTCCCACACAATATTTACCTTTTTACAGCACCTTTCATTACCCACTGGGATAAAGACCATGGGAAATAATTCCTTTCTTCTACTTGTCATGACATGTTAGTAACACACTTAAAGGGACACTATAGTCACCAAAACAACTTTAGCTTGATGAAGCGGTTTTAGTGTATAGATCATGCACCTGCAGTTTCACATTTGGTGACATGGAAGCCTAATGAATTCATAATCTCTATAGCCAAAGGGAGCGGTATGGCAGACCTCACGGCAATAGACAATGGTGAAGTGCTGGGGGATAGGATGGCTAGAAGGTTGGAGGAGATTTTAAACTAGTAGTAGGGGGGGAGGGTCATAGCAATCTACAAAATGGAGATAGAACAGAAAGGAGATGGGCTTTAGCACAGTATAAGGGGGGTGGAAACGGGGGGAGGGGCAAGCTCAGAACAGAGAAGCTGTGTAATGTTGAAAATTCACAAAATATACAAGTGACGCATAATATTAAATGTATGCTTACTAATGCAAGGAGCCTAAATAACAAAATGGGGGAACTAGAGGCATTAGCATACACTAAACAATATGATATAATAGGCATAACTGAAACATGGTGGGATGAGACACATGACTGGGCAGCTAACTTAAATGGGTACATGTTATTTAGGAAGGATAGGAAGAACAAGAAGGGTGGTGGGGTATGTTTGTATGTCAAACATGATTTAAAGCCAAATGTTAAGCAAATGGAATGCGAGGAGGATAATGTGGAAGCTTTATGGGTAAATATCTGCTTGGGGGAAAAGAAGGGAAACCAACTATTGGTTGGGATATGTTATAAACCACCTAATGTTAATATTTTTTTTCCAATTGAATTTTTATTAGGCATTTTCGTGTTATGGGTACAGAAAGGAAAAAGGAGGGGGGGGGGGAAAACAATGTACATGTTCTTACATTCTGTTATGTTAAATCCAAGATTCCTGCGGGGAGGTTACAACATAACAGGGTAAAGCATCGGCCCTTGCGGAACAGCGTTTAATTAAGCAATCACAGTACACCTCCCTCTTTTGTTGCTAGTATTGTCATACCGTTCTAGCCGGTGTGTTTACTCAATCTGGGTGTAACTCTTGTCTTTTGCTTTCCCTAACACAACTAACTATTTACACATTGGTATCCGTCTACTTTGATTCTCACTCTCTCTGTTGCCCCTGGTTTGTGCGTATGTCTGGTTTCTCCCCATGATTTGTGGCCGTGATTCTTTGTTGGCTCTCGTCCCTTTTTTTTTTTTTCCTTCTTCCCCTCTCCTCCTCACTCTCCCTCCTCTTTGCCCGGCTGTTCTATATCCACTTCATGTGGTTCTCGTCACCTCTTCCCATCTGTCTCTGGCTTGTTTTGCTTGAGCAGATGCTCCAAATTTGGCGTTTAATTTGGTTTCGTACATTAGATTGGTAGAGATTTGGGTCAGTAATGCAGCTTTTTATGGTCTCGTGGTTTGTTTCCAGCCCTTGCGATCAGTGTGTTTGCGGCTATTAGGATATGGAAGAGTAGTATCGCTTGTGGCCTGTTGTATGTCTCTAGAGTCATAAACAGCAGACCACATTCTGGCTGGAGGGGCGTCTGTGTGCCAAGTGTGCGTCGAATATTGTCTCCTACTTCTCTCCAGTATGGTTGTATTTGGTTACATGTCCACCATATGTGGTACATGCTGCCTTCCTCCAACCCGCACCTCCAGCACAATTTTGACGTATGTGGATACATGGTTGCTAATCTCGTCGGCACCATGTACCACCTGTACTGCAGTTTCCTCATGAGCTCTAAGTGTGCTGCGCATCTAGATCTCCCTTTGTGGGCGATAAAGGCTTTTTGCCATTGGCTGTCAGTGAATTGTTTATGTAGGTCTTCATGTCAATGCTCCTTGAATTTGTCTTTCGGTGGTGTTTTAGGGTTGTCGTTTAGTGTTGCGTAGAGTAGAGAGAGTGTCTTTTTTGGTATGTTGCCCGTGGTGCATATGTGATAAACATGTTTTAAGGGTGTGGGTGTTGTTGTGGTCTCATTCTCCAGAAGTGCTTTTATTTGGAGGTATGTGAACAGAGTGGCATTTGGCAATTGGTATTTGTGTTTCAGAATGGGATATGGTTCTAGTTTACCTTCCTTGTAGAGGTGTTCTATTCGTGTGCACCCTCGTTGGGTCCAGGGGCGGTGGTCTAATGTGGGATTTGCGATGTGCAAGCTCTGTATCGGGGTCGCCATCACCCAGCTTTTGGTTTGCCCTAGGAGTTTTGTCTTCGAGTCCCATGTGTCTAGGAGTAAAGAGGTAGTTGGTAGTAAATCTTTGTGTTTGGGTCTCAACTTGTGGGGTACCCAGAATACGTATTTTATGCCCCCCGAGTATATCCCTGCAGCCTCCATCTCTGCCCATTAAGGCTTGTTTCCCCCTGTGTGTAGAGTGAGACTAGTGGACAGGAGGGCGGCTTCATAATACAGATGGACGGCTGGCAGGCCCAGGCCCCCTTGGGAGGTGGGTTTGCTCAGGATTGCTGACGCCACTCTTATTTTCTTGTGTGCCCATATAAATGATGTGTATATGCGTTGCAGCTTGGTTAGGTATTTATTTGGGAGGAAAATCTGCAGTGTTCTGATGAGGTATTGGAACTTGGGGAGTAAGACCATTTTCAGGGCAGTCATCCTACCTACCCAAGACAGAAATTTGTGTTCCCAACTTTTCAGTGTTTCTTCGCTTTCCTTCAGGAGTTTGCCATAATTAAGTTGCAACAGTTGGTGGGGGTGTATTGGCAGTTTTAGTCCTAAAAAAGTGATGTAATCCCCCTCCAGTCGAATTGAAAGTTATCCTTTAGTTTGTCTAGCGAGGCTTGAGTCATCCCTATCCCCATGGCCTGTGTCTTGGTAACGTTCAATGTATAGTAAGATTGATCCCCATACTCCTTTATTTCAGCAAGAATGTTTGGTAGTGAGATGTGTGGCTGTGTGATTGTCAGCATAATGTCATCCGCAAACAGTCCTGCTTTGTATTCCTTCTTCCCCACTTGTATCCCGTGTATGTTGCCATTTTCTCTGAATTGTGTGGCTAGTGGTTCTAGGGCTAGGATATACAGTAGTGGCGATAGGGGGCAGCCTTGTCTTGTTCCGTTGGTGAGCCGAAACGGCTCCGACAGGAACCCCGAGTTCAACACTCGTGCCTCGGGTGAGCTGTATAATGCGTCTACTACTGCTTCAAATTTGTCCGGTATTCCGAACTTGCATAAAACTGCTTTTAGGAACCCCCAGTGTAGCCTGTCAAAGGCCTTTTCGGCGTCTAGAGAGAGGAACAATCCCCCCTCTTTTTGTGTCTGTAGTTTGTATAGTAGGTTTATGGCCTTCCTTGTGTTGTCTGACCCCTGTCTCCCTTTTACAAATCCCACCTGGTCGTTGTGAATGATGTGTGGTATGATTAGTCCCAGTCTCGTAGCATATAGTTTGGCAAAAAGCTTCGCGTCTGTGTTTAGGAGTGAAATAGGTCGAAAATTTTTCGGCGTCGTGGGTGGTTTGTTGGGCTTTGGCAACGTAACTATGTGTGCTAACAGCATCTCTTTTGGAAGGGATTTCTGGGCTGTAGCGTGGTTGAAAGTCTTTGTTAGGTGGGGTGCTAATACGTGGCTGAGCTTCTTGTAATATAAGTTTGTCAGGCCATCTGGGCCTGGTGATTTGCCAGTCGGCAGTGTTTGGATGATTGTAAGCATCTCCTGTATTTCTATGGGTTTGGTTAAGTCTGTCTGCTGTTGTGGCGTGAGTTGCGGCAGGGCTAGTTTGTCTAAATAGGCTTTTATGCTGGTGTCGGTGGGTTGCGTCGTGTTCGAGTCTCCTTTCAGGTTGTATAGGGTGTGGTAGTATTTGGCGAATGTTTCACTGATTTCTCTAGGTGTGGCGTGTTTCTGGCCTTTGTTGTCTAGGATGTAGGCTATTTTTTGATTGGCTTGTTTTTGCTTCAGTTGATTAGCTAGGAGTTTGCTCGCTTTGTTGCCCTGCATGTAATGTGATATTTTAAGTCTTGTCATGTTGTTTTGCGTTTGATCTAGTGCCTGTTGGTGTATGAGCCTAGTGATGGTCATGATGCGATGTCTGTTTTCTGCCGTTGGTTGTAGTTGGTTACTCCTATTTAAGTCATATAGCTCTCGTTGCCATGTTTTCAGTGTGGTCTGCGCCTGTTTTTTTATGTGTGCCGCCTTTCTAATTAGCAGCCCTCTTATGACTGCTTTGTGTGCCTGCCAGATAGTGGTCGGTGAAACTTCTCCGTTCTCGTTCTGTGTAAAGTATAAAGTGAGGTCATCTGCGAGTTCTTTCGTGTATTCGTTATTTTGGAGCAACATGTTATTTAGCTTCCAGGGGCTACGGTGTTTGAAGTCGTATACGTTTTTCATGTCGAGGAGCACAGGTGCATGGTCGGACCATGTGATTTGTTTTATTTCGCAGGCGTGGATTTGGTTTAGGTGTTGCCCTAAGATGAGGAACCCATCTATCCGAGAGTAGGAGTTGTGGACGTGTGAGAAATGAGTAAATGTTTTTTCCCCCGGGTGTGTGGTTCTCCATGCATCATAGAAATGATGTTCGTGTATGAGTTTCTGCAGGGCTTTGCATTGTCTGTTCAGGGGGCGTTGTCGACGTCTGTGTCGTGATAGTGTGGTGTCTGCTATGGGGTCTATGATGTGGTTGAAATCACCACAGATTATCGTAATTCCCTGTTGTATAGTGCTTGTTTTTTTGAGAATGCTCTGTAGGAAATTTCGCTGGTTTGTGTTGGGTGTGTAGACGTTGATTATTGTGTAGGTCATATCATTTATTTTGCCCTGTAGAAGGACATACCTGCCATTGTTGTCTGTTTCATGGTGTTGTGGTTCAAATTTTATGTGTTTGCTTAAGAGGATAGAGGCGCCTCTAGATTTAGTAGGTGACGTGGCGTGGTATTGGTGTGGAAATTGCATTGTTTGAATATTGGGGTGATCCATATGTCTAAAATGTGTCTCCTGGAGACATACGATATCCGCGTTTAGGGACTTGAGCTCTCTGTGTAGCATATGTCTTTTAGCGGGGGTATTCAATCCCCGTACGTTGTATGTACAGATCCTCACGGTGGTTTTTTATAGTGTAGTGGGCTATAGTATTTTGTGATGTGTGTTTCGTCAAGGGACAGCACTCCTCCCAGCTTCAGCAAGCTGAGTGCTGACGTCCCGTTTTTGGTTTGGGTGTGGATGTCCCATAGAGCTTGTGGGGTAGGTTCGTGTCTAAGGGGGATAAGAACCAGTAGTGTGGTATGCGAGAGGAGTGTTTGCGCGGGGTTCCCTGTGGTGTGCCCCTCTGAGGGTTTGATTTGATTACCAGTAACTGAACAAAAATATACAATGCATAACAGTAACATAACAACAAAAGTATATACAAATAACAATTCTGCCTGAGGTATGGCTGGGCACTGCATCGATGTGCCTTGGGGTTGAAGCTAAGCTTCTCGGTCTGGTATACCTCCCTGCCTGTGGCTTCTCTTAACCTTACTTAGTGACTGTAACGCCCTGTGTGGGTCTGTTGCTTTTTGTCGCTACCTGAAAAAGTTTGTTTTTTTCTGAGTCAGTGGGATAGGGTATTTTACCAGCGGGGTGTTTCTATTGGACTTCTTGTCGATAGGGTATGGGTCTCTAGTCTACTTGTGGGTTGGATACTGGCTGCATATCATTCTTGTCCTCTCTCAAATTACCCAGTGGTGACATAGGCTTTGTTGGGGATCTGAGCCTTCTAACTAAGGCCTCCCTCTCCCCCCCCTTTTTTTTTTTTTTTTACTTCTCTCCCTCTCTCTCTCGTGGGGGTAATGGCCCTTCAATGTCACGCATTTAATATCTACCCTATATGCTATCTTTACAGTTCTATTACTTTACCCATCCCTGGTTTCAGACCGACTCTGTCTCTGCGAGGGTGTTCACCCCTGGTTCAGGAAAGTCTTTGTTCATTTTCTTTTAGGCTTTCTCCAGTCTGGGGAGAGTCGCGGTGCGCCCATCTCTGTGGTCGCCGTAGCCGGTATTGCGATGCCCCAGGTCTGCAAAATTTTCCGTCCGTCTTCTGGCGTCTGGATGGCCGTGATTTTCCCCTTTCTGTTGACCAATACTTTGGTTGGGTATCCCCAGCGATACGGAAGGTGATGGTCTCGTAGGGTCCGGGTGATGTCCCTGAAGTCTCTGCGGCGTTTCAAGGTAAAGGCCGAGATGTCAGTGTATAGTGCGATATGTTTGTATGGGTCTGGTAGGCCTTTGTGCATTCTGTTGGCATTCAGGACTGCTTCTTTGGCGTGGAAGTAGTGCATGCGAAGCAGAACATCACGAGGCGTCTCTGGGGGTAAAAAACTTGGTTTTGCCGTACGGTGGATTCTATCAATCAGCAGCATCTCTTGCGGCCAGTCTGGTAGTAGGTGTCTCAGGAGGCCTGTTACATGGGCCATGAGGTCAGGAACACTCACTGTTTCTGGTATGCCTCGTATGCGGAGGTTATTTCTCCTTGTGCGGTCTTCCATGTCGGCAATTTTCATGTCTTGTGCTTCTATTTTGGCTAATATGGTGTCTACCGTGCCCGCCAGGTTGTTGTGAGCGGTGTCATATTCCGCCATTTTGTCCTCTACTCTGGAGGTTCTTGTCCCCAGCTCCTGCACCTCTTTGTTGATGTCCTTTATTGTGGACTCTATCTGTAGTAGTAGTTTTGCTGCCATTTCATCCAGCAGTGCTTTAATTGTGCTGTGTGTTAGTGCAGGTTCAGTCTCCTCCGGGTGTTCCCTGCTGTCTGTCATGTCCTCAGCGCCATCTTGGGTCAGCTCATGTGGCGGCTGGCTTTTGGCTTGCCCGGCTCTGGAGACAAAGAAGTTTGTTTTCTCTGCTCTCTCCGTGTTCCTCTTCCCCTTAGGTTGCGACATTTCTGCTTGTGCGGCCGATTTCGGGCTTAATTGCTTCATTGAAGCCGGTCACGGAGCAGAGCCGCTAGTGCATGCGACCGCTCCGGTTCGCCTCCAGGCCATGCCCCCCCTAATGTTAATATTGACGAGGAACAACAGCTGTTTGAGCAAATTGAGAAAGCTGCAAATCTGGGTAACACTTTAATTATTGGAGATTTTAATTACCCGGATATAAATTGGGACAGAGGGACTAGTGCCTCAGCAAAGGGAATTAGGTTTTTAAACTTGTTAAATTACACCTTGATGCCACAACTTGTACAAGCACCAACTA